AAGTCAAATTTATATATACAGCTTTTTCATAACAACTGATTGTGGTATAGAATTGAATTATGTGCCTGGAAAATAAATAATACCCCACCCTTTAAAAAATGTGCATTCTTCATTTTGTTATTACTAAACAAAGATAAGAATGTTTATGCGAAAAMATGCTGACTAACCTGGTCCAGAGACGCCATGCACGTATCCAAACTGACTCTCTCGGTCCTCATCTCTGATCTTGGGCAGCTTGGACATGTCCATCTTTACAGGTTTGTGTCTGAACTGGGACGAGAAGAAGACATGGCATGTAAAACACGTAAAACATCCTGTTGTTAAACCCAGTTTAAGTTGTCAAAGTCAGTAACGGTCAATCCTGGGAGGGGACCCTGAGGAAGACCCAGGTCACGCAGGAGAGACTATGTTTCCTGTCTGGACTGGGAACACCTTGGAGTCCTCCCAGAAACTGGAAGAGGTGGCTGGGGAAAGAGAGGTCTGAGCTTCCCTGTTCAATCTGCTGCACCCTAGACCCGACTCGGAATAGATGGATGGATGGATGGATGGATGGATGGATGGATGGATGGATGGATGGATGGATGGATGGATGGATGGATGGATGGATGGTTAAATTTTTGAACTTGAACAAATGCAATTTATCATAATTTGCATTTAAATACTAAAATGCGCAATCTTTAAATCCATTTTCTCACAGTTAAAGGGCTAAAAAATACCAAGTTAAAAACAACAACACTGTACTTCTGTGCCTTTTTAATGCTTTTTTTCTGTGATAACTAAAAAAATCTAAAGAAAATATGGGTATTTTATTTTTTTATAAATACGGGTATATCTACGGGTCTTCTACAGCAGCACGTTTCGTTGTTTTGTATTAAAAAAAGCTGCGTTCTTTTGTTCAATCACCAGTTTCTGAGCTTCAAATCCTCAGATGCAGAAACAGCAGGAGCAAGCATCAGTCGTGACTTCAACCATCCCACCCCACTACCCCCCCTTCCCATGGATGTGACTGCAAACACCCTGCAGAGTTCAGTTCAGCTGTATGTGCTACATATTGCGTCCATCAGCATCAGTGCATCACACCGACATGCTAACAGTGTGTGCTTTTTGCTTCGGCTTATCTGTCCTTTGCTGTCCTTCCCCACTGATGTGCACACCTTCCTGTTTACGCCAGGCTGCTTAATCCATCTGTGCAGCTCCACCATGGGATCTGCAGGAGAACTGCATCTATTACAACCCTATAGTGTTTTATTTCCTGGGATTTAAGCTTTAAAATAAAAACTATTCAAATGGATATTATGTGAGACAAACTGAGCTCCTSAACTAATGCATGAGTGTTCACCAAGGGTTTGCTAAAACATGCAAATGGATTAAAAATTAACTATACTTGACTAGACAGTTTTCAGGATATGTATTTATGTTTCCTAAGAGGTCAGAGGCATGATTTCCTTTATCTCCAGTTAAAGGAGCTGTGGACAGTCACATGGTCATATGATTTTGGCACATGACTCTGAGTCTTCTTAAGGAAGTGGGAAAATAGTGCAATATGACTGTGTATCTGTGGAAAATATGCAAAAGCCCTTCCACCTGACAACAGTTCCCTGAAAATGAGCACAATAATAAAATAGGTTATCACCATATTATTACACTGCAAACCTGCTCTGATGTGCTGGATGATTAAAACTGTAAGTTTAATGTAAACGTTAGGTCTCTCGTAGAGATTTTTTCTATGTCTAAACTGAAAGGGTTATGCTAGTCCCTTTTCACACAGGTTTAATCGACATCGTCACTAAATCAGAATTAGACGTGTTTTTAAATTACCTGGCTGTAACAAATAAGCACCGTCAGCTAACCGTGTTTGTAAATGTATCGTGAAAATGATCGTTCTCGGCCTCGTTCAAGAAGAAAAAAAAATGCTGCCTCTGCCGTTTTCTGCTACAAAACCCCCCTAAACTGTTTCATTTTCAACACGCTCGTCTATTTAAACGGCAGAATTCTACAATATTGATATGTATTTTTTTTTACCTTCTTGTCGTGAAGAACAAATTACTGTCTTACCTCGAGAGAGAAACGGTTGATACTGCGGTGCGTGACAGCAGCCTGAGGTCAGCTGACTTCATTCAGTCGCCACTCGTCTTTTTTTCTTCCCCCCCTCTACTGCAGGGCCTTCGCAACTACCGCCATTTTGGATCCGCCCCGGGACTACATCAAAGATCTTCTACACAGCGACGATGAGCCACTACTGCATTATAATCTTCAGATAACAAATAAATAAATTATACATATTAAATTTATCATTTCATACGCTTATAGTTAGGTTTACATCACCACCCTAAGCCTAATATAATAAGTAGTACAAAAATGCAACTTAATATAAATTAAACACAGATGTCATCTACCTAATGAAACGTTGAATTATTTGAACAACCAAAAAAAAAAAAAAAAAAAAAAAGGTCGAGAGGAAGAGATTTTGGCAAGATTTTTCTGTTTTCAGCTATATCAAAAATTAGTCTTAAGATTTTACAATTTCTAAAACGCATGCGTATTATCTAAGAAAAACTAATTTGCGAGTTTTGACCCGGAGTCTGGACTCGCAGGTGTTTTGGGTTTCGTAACTTCATCTGTTCATCGCTAAATACACTCTAAATTCAGTTGTCATCAAAAACTGATTTCTTACATGTAGTCTTAACGTGACCTGTAGTTTACAGTTTTATAAACTATTTCACATAAATATTGGCTGCAGCCTGACAGAACTAAACCCGGTTATAAAATCAAAATTTAATAATATGGCAAGCTCATTTACTATATAATAGACGGACTCCTCTGGTTCTCAATAGTCAAATGGAAATGCTATTTAGAAATATTCTCGACATGGACACAATTTTCATTTCACATACCTAAACATTACTTTTGTTGAACAAATCTAGCATTGTAAAAGTCTTATGTGTGTTGCTCCCAGAGAAAACTTTTCTTGAGAAGTTCAAAGTACTACAAAAGGGAAAAAACACAATTTGTCTATTCAAAAAAATTAATAATAATGAAAATAAAATAATAATAATAATAATAATAAT